GGGTGTATTCAATTGAAACTTTTAAAAATTTTTGGAGACTTTTTTAAGTGGGTGACTTTTGTGGACTTTATGAAATTTTAAGTAATTTCTATGGATTTGGTAGGAATTAGTAAAAGTTTTTCCTGGATTTGTGGAAACTTTTACTAGAGACTTTAAAAGACTTTTGAGATTTTTTTTTTTTTTTTTTTTTTTTTGTGTGAAGGAAATATGCTCTTCACAATGTTAAATGTGAGATATCGAGGAATATTTATGAGAATTCACAGCATTTTATCTTTACCGTTGATTTTCCACTTAAAAGAATTTGCATTTCCCCTTGCGTTGTTTTCTCAATACCGACAGTATTGTGTTTCACATTTTGATATGTCCTGGATCCTATAAAACTAGAATTGAAGGAAGACCATTTTCTTTTGAAAGAGATAGAGGAAATACCTAATTGGAAGAGATAGAGGAAAAACCTAGAGGGAAATAAGAAGAGCGGACTCTTTTTAGAAATCTCTCGATGGATGAGAGATTTTGGGAGAAAAATCGTATTTATATTTTCTATAAAAAAGTCTCTGAAAGTCCAAGAAATTTTAAATTCCCTGAAAGTCCCTCTAAATTGAATACCCCAAAACTTATAGAGATTTGTAAAAAGTTTTAATTGAATACTCCATGATTAATTGAATACTCCATGATTAATTGAATACTCCATGATTTCTAGAGACTTTTTAAAAGTCTATAAAAGTCTCTATTGAATATATCCAAACTTTTAGAGAGTTTCTAAAAGTTTCAATTGAATACACCTAAATTTTTTAAATCTCTAAAAGTCTTTAAAAGTCCCGATTGAATACACCCTCCTTAATGTTTGTTTCGTTTGAATATTGTTAGGAATTTAATGCTTTTAGATTAATTAATAACTAATTGATGATATTTATGTTATATTGTCATTCGGGAGAAGGAATAGGAATTTAGCACAAATAGCAATCATTCTAAAGTCCTATAGATGTTAGGGACAATTGTCCATATTTTGTATGATCCAATTGAATCTTCTTGCAATGTAATGCATCGTTACATGTTTGCATTCGAGATAGGCATATTTTAGGTCACGTGAAGATAGATTTGTCTGATTCCACTTGTGAGATATTATCAAACAAGATAGGAACACTGATCTTCATATCCACATAAATGTTGTCAAAGTCTTGAATTAATATTAAGATGGCACAATGTAGAGGAATTCGAGGTCCAAGTGCTTTGTTCAACTACTTGAGTTTCATAAACGATTTTCTACCACTTAATTAGTTAGATAAGTTAGGTAGGTTCGTCTCAAGATTAATTAGTAAATACAATATGTCTTATATTTATTGTGTGTTCGATTAGAGTTAGGTTAATTGAAAACTATATTAGATACTTAATCCTTGTGTGATTGTTCACTGCCACTTTATTGTTTTATTTACTATACCGTACGCTTGCAGGATATCAAAATCAACAACAATACCAGTGATTTTATTACCTCACAGTTAAAAAGCACAAATATGAACTGGGAAAATGTCTCTCCTTCACAGTGAAATACTTTCTCTTAACCATTTCAGAACATTTTCCCAGTGCCCTCCTTGCGCGGGATGGATTCATGTATATCCATTCTACGCCAGTTGCTAACCAAGGGGGCTAGCTCCTGAGTTTTGTCAAACAATCCCAATAGACCACCAGTGTGAATGAAGAGGACTCTTCTTCCTTCCCAATTCTTTGGATTCTCAGCCATGTTTCTAATCATCCCAAAAGCCGCTTTTCCACTGCAGAATGCACAAAAAAAATAATTTCATTCAGAAAAACTTTCACAACTATGTCATATCTGTTAAACGAATATACATCTTCCCAGATCCCCATCCAGCAGGTTAATTACGGCTATGGAAAGTCTCAACGTGCAGCAGCCTTTAAGTTCAGTATACGATTTCACACCTGTAAACTGGGTCAAGAACCACACCAGAAGCTTCAGCAATTTCCTGGACAAATTTTAGCTCCTCAGTTGTATTCATTGCATATCCAAGACCTTTGGCCTGTAAAGATCCAAAAAGATGAGCATTGAGCTTTACATCTGCGTTTTCTGTACACTTTTGCTAGACACTGCTACAGGACAACAAACAAAAAACTTGAAATAGCGTAATTCAGTGAAAATCATTATGTATTAAAACACTAGTCCAGCCTTTCAGACAAGAAAATGATTTCTACATAAATCTATAAGCTTCAGAAATGCAGAATGTCTACAGCCATCAATTGCATAACAAATAATATAAAAGACATGAAAACAATAACCAAAACAAAGATTATGAACTAAAGTCTGCCATTGGAATCCTCGAAGATGAAAGAAGGATACGACAACAATCTGAACAAAATAAAAATGTGCTCACATTTTGGATGGTAACTATATCACGTGAACTAACACCTGCATGAAGGCCATCAAGTAAGCCCTGGGCATACTCGTAGAAGTACTCAGGGTCATCACAGACACAGTAGGCATGAACCTAAAATCAAGACAATTATTCATAGTAATTAATATTCAAACCAAAGGGGGGAGAAGATAAAAGGAGAAAAGTAAGAATGTGTACTTTAGCTTTCAGATCACTCAGCCAAGATCCTACTGACAAACCAGCAATTGTACCCCCACTGAGAATCATGAACAAGAAAACATTGAGATGAATACAATCAGGCTATAACATGGTAACTGTCTTTAAATGTTATTGGGCAAATTCAGACAGACCAGTTGTTTCTGAAAGAATTAAATTTTTTTGGTGCAAATTTCCACATATTCCACCAAAATAAAGAAAAACTAAGGCAGAACCCACTTGGTACAGTAACTTTTTAAGTTAACGAAAACTCTGATGGATTCACAGGTTTATTGAGTTAGCAATGTCAAAGTAAGTAGAATCATTCACTATTGAAATACTAAATCCATGTCAAACACATACATGTGCGTAGAAACATAGGCATTAAAACACGTGACAGAAAATTATTGAGTACTAGGAGCAGAAGCAATACTATTAAGACCACTGGATGTTATTCTTGGTGACAAAAGGAAATAACAACCCTGTAATATTCTTCTGTCTTCTGAATGTAATAGAGGAACTGGAGTTTACATGAACATAATCTATGTTTTCTTAACAGATATAGTTACAATCAAATCCAGCCTTATAAAAAAACTTGCAGATCACAACTGGAAGTATATTCTAAATGCTACTTCCTCAATTAGAAGTGTATAGCTGTTAAAATTCAAGAATAAAGAAGCAGGGCAATACCTGCCGCATGCTACAACAATGTCATCAAATACTACTTCATCTTTCACATCCTGAAGCTGTTCTTCAATCTCCCTAACTGCTTCAATATAGCCCCTGAAAAACAAAGAATGTTTCGTGAACAATTTCAAGCTGATAAGAAGAAATTAGACCATTGTAATTTGATAAACTCTCCTCAGGCGTCCACTCTACATATAGACAGATGATGACATTTAACATCCAGCCTTACCAGGTTCCTAAAGAATTGGACCCACCTACAGGAATGACGTATGGCTTTCTCCCTTCATTTAACAATTTTGCTTTCAACACGTCAGTAAGAGCCTGATATCAGAGAAGCACCCGTCAGAGGACATTGAAAAATATGTTGTTCAATAGCAATAAGTAAAGCAGTAAAACACTGGTACCTACGTGAGAAGACAGCATTAAATTTGGTATAACATAAACGATTCACGGCCTAAACATTAGTAAGGCTCGATAAAGATGTGTAATAATTAAAGAAAAAAAGCATTATTTATCCTTATAACTCCGAGATCTTCAGCACATTTTCCCTGTCAGGAGACCATCCTGAACGCCTAGGATGAATCTGTTTCAACTTTTCACCACCTACCAAAGTTTTCTCATGTTTGAATACTATAATAATTAAATCAGCAGAAATAGAAGTATAAAGCGGGCTGGGTCTAGGATGACACAACCCATTTTTGGGGTGGCTCAGGATGGACCACAGTTTCCTGCCGAGCTGGTCCAGGCTGGTCCAGGCCAGGCTGTCTGTGCTGAAATATTCGGCTAGTGTCTGGTTGGCAGGTCATGAGATCCAAAACCCTTTTTCCCCCCTTTTTTATATGATTTTCTGGAAAAGCAAATGTGCAGCTGTGCCTGGCTACCCAGTCCTGTCACAGCGCAGGTTTAAAACCCCCTACCTACAAATTTATTAACCGATATCATATAATAAAACAGATCAACAATCAAAATAAGTTTCTATCCCACCCCAAAAGGCAGAGCAACATAGAGGAAGCTAATCATATTATATTTCATATCTAAGAGTGAGGATACAGTAGACGTACTACACCCCCAACTTTTGCATATTCTTCTTTTGAAACAAGGTCAATATGTGCTCCAACCAATCGCTCAACCAAGAGATTTCCAGTTAATCCAGGATCTTTATCCACAAGAACCTACAAAATTAGAAGATGATAGCTAATACACATACAGAATTCAGAGAGGAAAGAGCACATAGCTTCTGAGCGGAAGCCTAACTGAAGCAATCTAATAACATCCAAAACCAAGTACCTTTGAAGTGCGTAGGATAAGATAACAGTCAAGGTTCAAATATTTTGCTGCCACGGCTGTCGCCCGGCAGTGATTGCTTTGTATCCCTCCAATAGTTATGATGCAATCTGCCCCCTGTGCCACGGCATCTGCCAACAAGAATTCTAGTTTCCTGACCTTGTTGCCACTCAATTGCATTCCTGAAAGATCATCACGCTATGAAATGCAAATTTCCTCATCAGAAAACAGAATATGATAAACCAACAAGATAGTTCAAGAATTAGACTACATATTCTTGTATAAAATACACCAGACATAATCCTTACACGCCCAAACAAATATGTGCACTTTAACCATCAATTTCTCGATGAGCCATGATCATCAAAGGCATTTCTCTATCTATATGTCAAGTTTATTAAAAAAAATTGTCCTACTCATGTTGCTATTTCAAATCACAAGTTTTTTTCTTTTCTTTTTTTTTTTCCCCCTGAGGCAAGTATGAAATGCCTGGAAGTTATTGCTGCATCCATAACCAAATTTTTTATAGTTCCTAAACTACGCATAAAAAGTATTCTCTTGTTTAAGCTTTATAAAAACAAATGATATGCTATGAGGAAAGTTCCTTTTCACAACAAATCCAAACCCTTAGGATGAATATTCATATTACCATGCTAAAGGTTTCAAATTTCAGTTAGCAATTCCAAAAGTGAGTGAAATATCTTTACCTTGAGATAGACCTCTGTCCCCTTGGGCAAATTAGGGAGGTTCCACTTGTGAATTGGAGTCGGAAACTATTAAGAATATTTATATTAATCACTCAAATTAAACAGAAATTTCAATAATTAACAATCAACATCGATATATACGTACATGGCCAAGTGAAAAGACATGAGAGGGAATAGGATTGAGGTGAGAGGCCCATGAAGGTGGCACGTATGGCTTCTTTGTAAGGAATTCGAATGTAGGTTTTTGAGGATTGGGGACAGCTTCCATTGCAGTTTTCGATCTAGTTGAGGAATTTGCTGTCGAAGAAGAATACGAGGAGCGTATAATTTCTTGTTTTGGGATTAATTTGATTGGATTTTTCTTGCTATTGATGATCGATTGAATGGGAAATGATGCAGGAGCAGGATTGAAGATGATGAAGGATCCTCAGCTAAAGTTCCAGTTATAGCATAGCATCTTCTTTTTCTTACGTGGCCGCCGGCTGGCTTAAAAATAACAAGAATTTATACAGATTTAAAATGACAAATAATAACGAAAGATGATAAGGGTACAGGAATACCCTCACAGAATCGGTACAGGGTTTTAAATTAGATGATGTGGCATTGCTTATTAAAACAAAAGAAAAAGGAAAAAGAAGCACTATCTCCAAAAGTGAGAAAATTGGGAAACGAGAATTCATTCCACCATTTTCCCCCTACTTTGCGTCGACTCCCGCCATTGCCAAACCCACCCACCACTATTTTTCAATCCATCTCCGGTGCAACTCCGACCACTGGGTAAATAGAAAGGCTACATTTCACACCATTTTCCCCAAATTTTNCTATTTTTCAATCCATCTCCGGTGCAACTCCGACCACTGGGTAAATAGAAAGGCTACATTTCACACCATTTTCCCCAAATTTTGTGTCGATCCTGCAACTGAAAACCCATCCATATCGAGCCAAAATTCAGGGAATTGACCGGCGGACTCCGAGCTATTTGTAAACAAGAGGTCGATCGTGTTTTGTATATCGACACCACTTTCATCAACAAGTCCAAAATTTGCACTAACCCCAAATGGCAGACAAGGGTTTTTTCTCATCCTTCCTTGAATGTATCTAAATTGGCTGAAATTTATTGTTAAGTGGTCACATGAGTCCATGTTGTCATCCTTCGCCTGTTACCCACAGCAGAAAACTGAGTTCTATTGACCTAAGTTTGAAAACTTAAACAGAGCATAACTTATAAGTCATTCATTTTTGTTCTATTCTGGATCCGAAATTATGGAAGATGATAACCATGACTTGTTTATCAAAGTGTGTGCATTTGAATATTCAACCTTTGTTGTATTTGTTTTCATCAATGTCTTTCTTGATTTCTTTATGTATGGAACCGATCTTTTTATGACGAATATATCTCTTCTCATTGACATAGGCATTGAAGTTAAACAGCCAAACTCTGCTATTGGTAAATGTGCTGGGGTTCAACTCATTAAGAATGACAAGAAGATTGCTGCTCTTGTCCCCCATGATGGTTGTTTAAATGTGCTTTAGTTTGTTGGTGAAATTAGTTCATCTAGAAATGTTAATACTTCTTAAGCATGATGGACGCTTGATATGTAATTTGCTGGATTTTATTTCTTTTTCGAGTCTCTCTCTCTCTCTCTCTCACAGTTGGAACATTGCATGCATTTTTTTTTTATTGATAATCAAGTAATATGTTTTGTCCAAAGTAACTGAAATACTGTGTAACTTGGGCATCGCTTTTCGGCCATGTGATAGTCCTTTCTAAATGTGGACAAGGCACAATACTGGCTTAATGACTCAGCTTGGTCGAGCTCACCTGTGCTAGTCGTGGAGGATCGGTACTTCTCCAAGGCCGCAGGCCCGCAGCTGCTATTTTGTCCCATGATAGAAGGCTAATATAAGTTTGTTGTCACAAAAAAGTTTGTTGATTCAATTTGTATATTTGCTTATCAAATTGTGTCCACACTTTTGATATGTTAGTTGGCTAACATTTATTTTTGATAAAAACAGCTCTTTCTAGTACACAGTATCTTGGATAAAACAATGTTACAACTATTCAACTTCGTTCAAACGTACACGTATTTGCATTTTATTGCTTGACTATTCAAATGTACACACTTTGCCATATTATTTATTTATGTGGAAATTACACTGGATGTCATTTTTTGGGTTTGAATTTACAAAAAAGTCACATTTTAATAGTTTTGACCAAACTATCACTTTATGACTTTTATGGCCCTCAAAAAAAATTGAAATACCTTGGATGTCCTTAATTAAAATTGATTTGATTAGATGAAAGAATAGTACAAAAAGTTAATTTGCATCACATCAAAAGCTCCCATCTCACTACTTACAAGAAAAAATAAAATAAAATAAAAATATGAAAAATAAAAAGGTAAAAATATTCATTCATATAGCAACTAAAGCCCTAAACCTAAACGACTCTCAATTTCCTCTCTCGCTCAAGATCGTTCGTGGTTGCCAAAATGTCCATTTTTGTCTAGGTTTGTTGGTCTAAAAAGTTCACGGTTTACTCTGGCAGCCATGCTGAAGCCCTAACCCTATGTACATTTTATTGAAATTATTAGGAATCCACTTAAGTTTAGGAGAATTGTTGAAGATCAATATCTATTTTTTGGTATGTTTCTTTTTGTTTTATTTTTTCTGACTTGATTTGGATATTTTCGTGTTCCCTTAAGGAAAAAATGTTGTGATTCGAAAAGAGATTATCTTGATTTATGAAATTTTTCCTGTTGATGGTGGGAAGATAGAAATGTTGGATTGATTGCAAATTCATTGTAATTTTTATCTTTACTTTCTTATAACTAATATCATGAAGTCTAGCAAAGTATCCTTGTGAACTCACAAATTTTGGTGTGCAATGAGATGGCTGTAATGTAAATGGACTTCTTGCACTTCTT